GTCAGTGAGCCTTGCCAAGTTCCTCCTACACTGATTTCTCCCACATCCTCCCCCTCCGGTCATGCCTTCTCTCCTTCAATATCTTTCTCGCATTTCCAAATTCCCTGGGCTTTGATTTATTAATAACTTTATCTGTTTTTTTAAATAGATTAAAAATGATCAAGGTCTCTAAGGGTCATTGTCCAATATGGTAGCCACCGACCACATGTGATCTTTTTATTTAATTAAAATTAAATAAAGTTTAAAATCCAGTTCTTTAGACACTCCAGCCCCATGTCAAGTACTCAGAGGCCGCCTGTGGCTAATGATTACCCCAATGGACAGTACAGAGGACAGACCCATCTCCCCAGAGAGCTCTACTGGTCAGCTCTGGTCTGGAAGCTATAAAGGCAGCGCCTGCCTCCATTGTCCGTCCCTAGACCTCCTCCCAGAGGCGATCCTGCTGCCAGTCTCCTTTGTGTCCCTACAGAGATGCTTTTCTGTCTACACAAGTGCTGGAAATCTCTTTTACTAAAACAAATAATACCCTAAACACCATTTTGCCCCATGCTTTCCTCACTGAATGAACCTTGGAGATCACAATACAAGTGCACACATAGTACTTCATTCTTCTGAGTGCCCTCCAGCAATCCCGTCACCGGGACAACCGCCACCACTCCCGCCTTATAACCATGCTCCCAGCCTGTGTCCCCTTGTGTGGTGCCCAAACACTTTCATGCTCCTCCCAGTCTCCCCACCCTCATACTCTTTTCCGACTCTTCCCGTCTTCCTCCTGGTGAATTCCAAACCAGTTTCTCTGGCTTTCTCCCTCAACACTCCCAGGTACCCGCAGACTAAACCACCCACTCCTCCTCCTGTTGTTGCCCCCACCCCCCTGACCCTCTCCTTCATTCACTGAGGATATCAGCACCTACCTCATGCCCTTTGTCTCCTCCCTAAATTCTGCAAACATCCCCTCAGTCCCACGTGGAGCATCCAGCCAACGCCTGGCCTTACACATGTCCCTGACCCTCTGTCCTCACCCCACTTCAGCCACCCACTCCCACCCTAAAGCCACGCAAGCAAATGAGCCACCTATGAAGTCCTGGTTTTCAGCATCCCCCTCTCAAATCATTCAAGATCAACAAGATTTCTAATCCATGGTGACTATTCACTAACCTTGCGTTGTCCTCCCAGCCTCCGTATTCAGCTTGAATAGTCTGGCATGTTCTTGGATCCCTCCCTTACAAATACACTTGCCTCCCTCTCCCCTCTCTAGTTCACTCACCTGTTGAAAACCCTGACCCTGGGTAAACCTGGTCTGCCCTCTCCACACACATATTCCCCACAAGAAGGTGACCAATCAAATTGGGAGCTTTTTAAAATAAATAACATTGGTAGGATTAAAAAATTGAGTAACTTCTATAGAAAATAGTACGGAGGTTCCTCAAAAAAATGAAAAGTAGTACTATCATTTGACCCAGCAATCCCACTTCTGGGTCTATATCCGAAAGGATTGAAAGTGGGGTCATGAAGAAATACTGGAACACCCTTGTTCGTAGCAATATTATTCACAGTAGCTGAAGTGGAGACAACCCAAATGTCTATAAACAGATGAATGGATAGACAAAATGTGGTATATACATACATAACTATAGTGGAATATTATATAGCCTTAAAAAGGAAAGGAAATCTGACACATGCTACAATGTGGGTGAACCTTGAGGGCATTATGCTAAGTGAACCAGGCCAGTCACTAACAGACAAATACTGCACAATTCCTCTATATGAGGTGCATAGAGTAGTCAAAGCCCTAGGAACAGAGTGGAATGGTGGTTGCCAAGGGATGGGGAAAGGGTAACAGGGAGTTGTGTAATGAGTGCAGGGTTTTAGTTTTACAAGATGGAAAGGTTCTGGAGATCTATTCACAACAGTGTGAATATATTAACACTACTGAACTGTATGTACCCTTTGCTTCAGATGCTAAATTTAACGTTGTGTTTTCCCACAGTAACAGAGTATAAAACGGAACAAAGCTGTTGGGTGGGCTCCACTCAGTGGTGCTGAAGGCACACTCTCTCCTCTGAGCACCGAACACCCCGCCCCACACAATGTGCAGGTGGCAAGGCTAGGGTGCGGCCTATTCTCCCTGCACTGGCAATGCCAAGCCTGATATTCACTCTGAACCTTAGAGTCAATGTAGGAAAAATTAGAAGAATTAACTAAGGACCAGTTGGGTATTTCCCCATTCTCTCAAATATTATTCTCCAGCAAGTAACTGAAATCCAATAGCTTTCCTAGCTCTGCCTCTCATGATTCATTCATGCTCATTTCTATGGATACATCAGTTTCTCAGCTGACAGTGATTTCATGAATTTTTAATTTACAAGGAATGAGCCAGAGATTAAAACTTTAAACTAAGCCAACAAAAGAGGGTTGTGAGTGTCGTTTCAATCCCTAGATTAAGAATCTCTGAATGAATTCACTGGCATCCTCACATGAACCACTATCTGGAAATTATCAAGACAACTCCTCTGTGAGTTTTTGCCTTTGGAGTATTAATATAGGTACACCTATCTGCTTTGGCCTGGCTATGTGGCTCACTGGTTTAACATCGACCTGTGAACTGAGAGGTCAAGATTGGATTCCTGGTCAGAGCACATGCCCGGGTTTGGGCTCAGTCCCCCATGGGAGGGGGAGGGGGGCGTGCAGGAGGCACCCAATCAGTGATTCTCTCTCATCATTGATGTTTCTATCTCTCCCTCTGCCTTCCCCTTTCTGAAATCAATAAAAACATACTTTAAAAAAATAAAACAATACTTCCTGATGGTTCCTTCCTCTTAAAAAAAATAGTACCAGTTTTGGGATCATTAAAAACAGTGAAACCAAAGACATTTCTTGTTATCAATCTTAATCTTGGAAAAACTCCAGGCCACCTGGCAAATAGTCACCAAGATCCCAACACCATAGAAAAGCCACAACAATGTGCAGCTTTATGACTAATAGGTAAGAAACTGATTTTAGCATAAATAAAATCAGATTAAAAATAAGCAAGTTAGATGAGAAACTATATCAAAATATAATCCATATTTTAAAAATTATTAATAAAATGTTGACATTCTTTTTTTTCCTACATCTTTGGAATGTGGTATATAGTTTATACTTGCAACACCCCTCAGTATGAGACACAAATAAGTGCTAGAACGGCCACTAGTGGCTACAGTCTTGGACGGTGCAACCACAGAACAAAGAAATATGTTCTGACAGGACAGGGACTAGCTCTTGCAATCTGGGCATATCTCCAGGCTTCTGCACTCTCCAGCGTGCTCCCACGGTCTCCCTCAGTGACAGCCAGCAACAGCTGGGAGGACACAGCTGCTCCTCGGGCTAGAGCAGCATTAGTTCAACTGTGGTCATTAAGGTAACAACATTTCAAATTTTACAAAATCAGTTTACTGCCATTATTTCCTTAAATTTTTTCAACCACAGATGGACTCACCTTTTTCAAAATTATCCTTACCCTAAGCAATGTCATGTGATGTCACAAATTTGACCATTTTTAATTATATTTGTTGAAAAAGCTAAAACACATTAAGCATTTAACACTTAAAAGACGTTTTGTGCTCCACCTAAAGCCAACAATGAACTAAACTAAAATTCATCCTCATTAGCGAATCAGTCATGGTGTCATCTCTCCAAAGCTTTCCATTTGGCACATGGGATGTGAGATGATTACTTTCAAGTCTGCTGGCACCCACCATCTGGACCCCGACCTTTGCATGTTTGAGTCTGACAGAGCATCCCTACCAAGGGTACCTTTAGGCTAGGGAACTGTCACAAACCACAGCCAGGGGCCCTCATTCCTGTGTATAGTGGGGCCTTGACTTACGAGTTTAATTCGTTTCGAGACCGAGCTCGTTAAGAAGCTTGTTAAGGAGCTCGTTAACTCAAATTACTCTATCAACTCAATGCAAAAAATCCGCTGAGAGACAGCTGGTATCTCAAAAAACTCGTTAGTCAGGACACTTGTAAGTCAAGGCCCCACTGTACTTAGCTGCTCAAAACCTGCCGAGGTGGGGTAAAACCCTTGCCCTAATGACCAGGGGGGCTCAGGCTCAGGGGAGAACCCTTAATAATTAATAATCGTGGCAGCTAAGGTTTACTGAACTACATGCCAAGCACTTTTCCAAAGCGTGTGAGTGTGTGTGTGTGTGCGCATGTGTGTATGTACGTACATGTGTGTGATTGCATGTGTGTTCATGCATGTGTGTGCGTGTGCCATACTATGATGATTATATCTCACTCATATAGTTGTCACAATAACCCTAATGAAGAAGGTATTGTTTTGCTGCTTTTCTGGACGAGGAAACGAGGCACAGGGCAGCTAGTAGTTTCCCACAGTCACAGAGGTAACACGTGGGGGAGCTGAGATTCAAAGCCAAGAAAGCTCACTCTGGAACCCGTGCTGTTGTTGCCCTGAAGATTCCAAATGGGATAAAGAAATGGAAGCTGGGAAAGACACACGTTCTATGGCCACAAACACAAATCCCCCAAAGTCAGCACTATCCCCCACAGGACACGGAGACTGAGGCAAGCAATATCCTCTGGTAAGACATTAGGCAGACAAGTAGAATAAGTTATAATGCCCTCAAGACATCTTCTGGAAATCACCCTGGGGAACTCACTGTACTCAGAAAAGAAGACAAAAGCGTGACAATTCAAGGGAGCAAAGAATCCAATAACACAAGAGAACGCGGATGGAGGGATAGGCAGAATAAGGAATCGATGGATGGATGGATAGACAGACAAATGAGCACACAAATGTTCACTCCAAACTCAAAAGCAGAGAGTATTATAAAGGGACACCCATCGCGCTGACCACTGCAGAGGGGCCCATCATATGGCTGACATCACACCAGCCAGCCATTCTCAAAGGCAAATCGGGACCTTATTCTTGTCACCGGGGCCAAAGCTGCAGGGTAAGCTGTGCTGCAGCCCGGAGGAAGGCGAAGTGCACTTACAGGTACTCCCTGTGGGCAGAGTGCACGGCGGCCGCGTTGCTGTAGCGCCACAGAACGATTGCCGATGACAGGACATCGAGGACAGCATCAAACTAGGAGAAGGAGACATGGCATTAGTGCTTTTCCTGAGTTAACAGGACAGGGCTGAAGACACAAAGCAACGATTCTGTGACTCAGAACATCTGAGCAAGTGACCTCAGAGCCAACAGTGGGCCTGGGCACCCCACACGCCAGCTCCTCCTCCTCAGATTCCGCACTGCGCCCCGGGCCTGGGAAACACGCTCCATGGCGTGGTGGTCTGGCCCCAGCCTGGCTGCCAGCACTCTGCAGATATGGGGGAGCACACGGGTTTGAACCCTGAAACTGGTTTCCCCACAGCAAGCAAGAGCATCTCAGCATTTCCCTGTTTACCCCAAGTACAATATTCAGGGTGAGGAATCTGTTTCTGGCTTTCAATGGGATTGTTCTACATGGGGGCCAGGGGGAGGGTGGTCACCCAAGGGCCCTGTGCTGTCTGCAAACACTTTGAAATTGTATATACAATTCAGTGCTTTTGTTTGAATGAATGAGTGAATGTGTGAGGGAGGAGAGAGGGAGGTGAAGGAAGGGGAAGAGAGCACTGTAAGAACAACAGTGAGAATATGTGTGTGCACGTGTGTGTGTGTGTTGTGTGTTGTGTGTGAGAATGTGTTGTGCGTGTGTATGTGTGTTGCGTGCTGTGTGTGAGAATGTGTTGTGCGTGTATGTGTGTTGTGTGTTGTGTGTGCATGTATGTGGTGTGCGTGTATTTCTGGACAGACAGTGCACTCCTTCTAAAGATTCTGAAAAGGTCTGCAACCCCCAAAACCTTAAGTTTTCACAACAAAAGGAAGAAGTGGGTTTGTGGGCAGGAACACCTACCCTGCGGCCCAGGGAACCCACAGCTGCGCCGGAGGGGTGTTTACAAGGGCTCTCCTGGAGTCACTGTGCCTCAGCACCCCTCTCACCTGGAAAGTTACAAGCACCCGGAGGGGACGTGGGGCAGCTCCACCCAGTGCTCGGCATGCCCAGCCCGTGAAACACCTGAGACCGTTTTCTCTCTGCAGCTCCCATGAGGAAGCAGGCGGGGGTCAGGCTCCCCAGGTCAGGCTGCCCGGGTCCGGCTGCAGGCGGACTGATCCTAGCAGCAGCAGCCCCTGACGCCCACACCTCTGCCTGCACAGCAAAGCCTTCGCTCCCGCGTGTCCCATTGTCCACCTGACAGCCTTGGGGGGAAAGGGCTAACACCCTAAAACACCCTTGCAACCAGCTGTGGGAAATGCGGTCCCCTCTGTTCTGGAGGGTTATGCAGCTTCCTTGCAGTTCACTTCTGCTGAATGCTAATCCACCTAGAAGAGATCTCCATAGACGGTGTGCTTGTCATGTGAAGCTCTCACCTGCTAACCACCCTCTCCTTGAGAGCCCAGGTGAGACCCGTGGGCTCAGGAAAAACGTGCACAACTTCATAAAAGTACATTTCAGGTTACTTACTGCAAACCCAAAAGCAGAGGCGCTGTACCTCATAACGGAGACAGCTAAAAAGAAAGAAAATATTATTCAGAATATTTCAAGACCTCATGGATATGTTCTCTCATTCATGAGTCTATTAACACATTTGATCTGCCCTTTTAAACATCAATGGAAAAGTTCCAAGAGAATAAAGTTAAAAGTTAACTGTGGCTGTAAACTCTGAGAACTAAAAAGTGCAAAGAGTGAGGAGAGACTCCAGACTCCGCCTGCAATGGCGTCCCTCCAGTGTGCTCTGAGCGCCAAGGGGCCAGTTTCAGAGTGAAAATGCGTAAGCAGTTGTCAGTCAAACGACCACCGAGACTTGGAGAATTTGGCAACTGGGATAGAGAGCTGGGGACTATATTAAACTTTCAAAGTAAAAGTGCAATCACCCAAACTGTTCCCCTAATAAAGTAACTGGTGGTTTCTCCATGCATGTGCCCTTGCCCATCAGAGTTTAAATCTAGTGTAGACCTCAACAAAACTGCTTGGGAAAACGGTAACAAATGATCTTAAGTGACAGATGTCTACAAATGTAGATGTAACAATTATAATTAAAGCATTTATCCGCATTCAAAAGTCAATCTTTTGGGGGGTAAGTCAATTAGGTAGCACTTTTGCCGAATTCTGTGATCTGTTCTCTGCCCAACCAATGTTCAGCTTTAAAGACTGGTCTCAATTTAACTTAATAAAGGCAGTTCTCAATATTTAACAAGCATAAGTCCACCCTCCAATGAAAATGAAACTCTACCCAGTGGGTCAGCAGAGCTGTGGAGGGGACTGTCCCGGCCCAGGCGTTGTAAGTGCTCACCGGGGAGTGAGAGAGGTGTGGGCATAGGAGACAGAGGTCAAGGCTCCCACTCAGCTCACCACGTGTCCCTTCTCGGGACTCACTCTCTCGTCCACCCATCGGCCAAAAATGAGTTCTAGACAGCCCTGCTCTCCTTCGTACCCCTGCCCCAAGCACAAGGGGTCGTCTGACCCAATGTGAAGCAAGCTTATTTCATTGTCTGTGAGTCAGGAATTGAGACGGAGAGAGTCTACTTGGTTAAGTGATGCTGCAGGAATTGAAACTTGCAATCACTGGAACTGGGGTTGGCCGTGGTTTGCCATCAGGACTGAAGAGCAGAGAGAGAAGCACGGATACAGTTCCCAAGCCCTTTCTGAGACTTGGCCACCGCCCAGTCCTCGGGCTGTGGAGTGCCACCCATTACATTCCTGACCCTCTGTTTCTGACAGGGGCTACTCCAGTTGTCCCTGCTGATGCGCGTGCTGGCATAGAGAGAAGGGCAGAGGCAGGTGCGTGCAGTGACCAACAGTAACTCCCACAGGCAACAGAAGGGTGCAGTGCCAGGGGCACCAGACCTTCCCGAAGAGCTCAATCTACAGGCCACGTGGGCATGTGCACAACAGGCAGCAGATCCCTCAGGGGGTCGCCCTGAGCCCCCCGGCAGCAGGAGCTCAGTAACTGTTCATTAAACTGTTAACTGACTCTTATAGAAACAAGTCAAAATGAGTATCTGGTTTTTCCTTTACAACCTGTTTTAGAACATCTAAGGTCTGTGCTTTCTTTTCTCAGTTACTTGTTTATCAGCAGTGGGAACCTTTTGAACATCTAGCATCTTCCACAGATGCTGGACGTACACAATGGATGAGGAAGAGCCGCCCGTGGAGCTCCTGCTCTGACTCCACCTGTGCTGCTTGCCTGGGCCCCATCGCCTGGAGGGCACAGCCAGAAGAGCACTCCCTCACCTGCGCTCCTGGCAGTGCACCATCACTCTAAAAGTTGAACTGAGTTATCTGGTGACACCACACATGTCTACAGCGGGCTGGAGACTTCGGAGGTGCACACCCACTCGGTTATACAGAGAAAACAAGGACCCGGATTTCAGAGACTCTGGACTCCAACAAATGAGCTGGTCATTGAATGGTGGAGTCTCTTTCCCTGACGTAGCCAGAGGCAATGAGCATGTTTTCAACCATGCAGGAAGTATGCTGGAGGGTCATGTCTGTGTGAGAGTTCCGCCTGCCCAATGGAATGCTCACACCACTCTACCCCGTGCACCAAAGCAAATGAGAGCAAGAGGGCTCCAGGTTAACCCCAGTCCCGCAGAGAAAGGAAGGATGATCATGAATCATTTGTTTATAAATTGGCTTCACCAAGTGTCCCGGGTGAGGTGGAAAGGGAGAAAATGGCATGAAGAACCCTGGGTGCACAAGGGCACGCCCATGGCCCTGGCTCAGGCAGCCTCCCTCTGTGAGCACCTCCCCAGTCCCCACAATGAAACAGCAGCCAATGGTCACCACCACAGGACCGAATGGAAGAGGTCGGTGCCTTCTAGGACTTTCTGAAGCGTGGAATGTCATGGGTTGTTTTCCCCGGCCTGCAGCTGGACGTGACACATCCCCATTCTGGGGTAAGGATGGACTCAAAAGAAAGGGATGGTTCAGACAGCCCCTCTCCCACAGCAAGAGAGCAAACTGTGAGGTTTTCATCAGGACGCTTCCCACTTCCCTCCCGCTAAGCATGGGTTCCACTTAGAGAACAGCAGGCCCAGCCGGGCAGAAGGACACACCAAGGCAGAGATGACCAGGTAGGTGCCCCTGGAGCCCCACAGGTACTTGGCCAAGGGCAGCTGAAAGCCACCACGGCTCCGGGGTCCGACACAAGTCCAGCAGTGCCTGTAGGGCAGGCTGGCATTTAACAGTGGCCAACAGACAATTATGCTGCAAGCTGGCAAGGTCTGCGGAGAGACAGGCAACTGGGCAGCCGTGAGTGGAGCTCTCCTATGAAAACTGCCCCGGGTGGAGGCAGGGGCCAGAGGGCTGAGGATAATGAAGTCACGGAGGCTGTCAGCACTCAGTGCGGGGCCTGCTTAACAAACACCACAGCTGCTCTGCAATGAGTGCCGACTGTCAGCAGCCTCCGTAGTCATCTGGGCGGTGCTGCTGGCAGAATCCCCTGGGGAAACTTGCAAGAACGTTTCTGCTCCTCACATTTTTTTATTTTCATATCTTTTACTATTATTATTAAATGTATTGGGGCGGCATTGGTCAACATGAACATAAAGGTTTCAGGCGTGGGTTTCTATGTTACAAGATCTGTATATTGCTCCTCACATTTAGAACTTGCCCTCGTTGCTCATAACTTAAACATGCACTTAGGGAGCCGGTGGCCATCACCAGCCTCCGAGGCTTGCAATTACAGGCCATTGGAGCCTCATTCCCAGGGAGCCCAGGCCGGGTCTCCTGCCTCTTACCACCCAGTGGTGAGAGTAGAGGTTGACTGCCGTCTGATCAGGCTGATCCTATGTACCCGAAAGTGTGTGCTTAGGATGTATTTGGGCTCCTCTTGCTTCTGAGCTCTCTCTCTTACTCACTAAAACACAAAGTCCATAAACTGTTCATAAGTAAAATAAAGATCTGTAGATTGGGACCTGCCCAATGCCTGTTCCCCATTTGGGTCAGAGCACCCTGAGTGTCTGGGAAATAGCACCTCCCCCACCTCAGACTGTGTGCTTTGGTGAATGACATCATTCTCCACACTCTAGCGCAGTGGTTCTCAACCTTCCTAATGCCGCGACCCTTTCATACCGTTTCTCATGTTGTGGTGACCCCCAACCATAAAATTATTTTCGTTGCTACTTCATAACTGTAATTTTGCTAGTGTTATGAATCGTAATGTAAATATCTGATATGCAGGATGTATTTTCACTGTTACAAATTGAACATAATTAAAGCATAGTGATTAATCACAAAAACAATATGTAATTATATATGTGTTTTCCAATGGTCTTAGGCGACCCCTGTGAAAGGGTCGTTCGACCTCCAAAGGGGTCGCGACCCACAGTTTGGAGACCCACAGGTTGAGAACCGCTGCTCTAGTGTATCCTTGTCCTATGGCCAAAGTGAGTGATTCAAAGGTGGCACAATTCAACCTGAGCCCATGAGAATCAGTCCTGAGTTTTTGCTGAAAATATTGGGAACAGGTGTCTTTTTAAAGGAAAGTGTAGCTACAGTTGGTAGGATAAAAACAGAGCTTCAGGTAGCAATTTTGCCCTCAATGGGAAGAGGCTGCCTGAGAATAAAGCCAACACAGAGGAAAGCAGATATTAAAGATATGAGACACAAACCAGACCACTGATGACATGGGCTGAGCCTCCGGAATCAGCCCGACCTGAAGTTCATCCCCTGCATTTTTTCAAATACATCAGCCAATAATTTGTCTTAATTTGCTTAAGCCAGTTTGAGTTGAGTTTGTATCACTTGTAGCCAAATGTCTTAATACAATAAACATTGACACAGTAATCCCATGTCCAAGAATCTCTTTTAATGTCTAAGAAATGGAAAAATTCTTTAAACACAAAAGGTTCATAGCAGGTTTATGTAATTTATAATCACAAAACACAATCTAAATGTCCAGCAGTAGGGTAATGGTTAAAGTATGGCTTGTTTAAAAAACTGTGCACCTGAAACCTGTATAATTTTGTTAATCAGTGTCACCCCAATACATTCAATAAAAAGGAAAAATAGGCTACATGTAGCTATTTTTAAAATGTTTACAAAAAGTAGTGTTCTTTAATGCTTATATTAGCGTATTAGTTAGAATAATGCTATTGATGATAAACAGGTGTTATATTTGGTGCCATCAGTACTGGGACATGATGGGTCTGGCTAATATAGGTGCGGACTGAATGGAGAGGTCAGGACAGGCTTTACAGAGAAGGTGACATTCAAACGAAGACTTAAAGGAGGTGAGGGAATGAGCCATGCAGTCACTTAGAGGAAGAACCTTCCAATGGGAAGAGTCCATGCAAAGGCCCTGAGGCAAAGTGCCTGGCCTGTTTGAAGCTATTCAGCAAGAGGGAGGAGAGGAAAGTTATCCTATATAATAAAAACCTAGCGACCAAACAGCAGAATGACCAGGACGACCTGTAAACCAGTCGCTATGGCACGTACTGATCACCAGGGTGAAGACGCTCAACACAAGAGCTGCCCCTTGGTGGTCAGTGCACTCCCACAGTGG